CTAGCACCAAAACTATTATTAAAAATATACTGTTTTATTTATTAGATATTTTGTGGATTTGATGGAGGAGGCGGGGGCTCACCGTGGACAAAATAAGGCTCCTAGTGAGGAACATTTTGGCAGTCCTGTACGTTAGGACCCCCTTATCCATGGGATCAGTATGCACTGATTCACTTATCCACAGCCTGAAAATATTAAAAATATTTTTTAAATCTCCAAAATATATATTTTAATAATGAAGATACCAGAAGTGGCCACTAGAGAGGGGCAGAGACCTTGCTATGTATAGTATCTGCTATTAAAATAGTGCTCCATGTTTTTCGTCTTTCTCACCCGTTTCCTCGGTGGTGAAGGGTGGTGAGAAGACACTGGAGACACAGAGTGAGCCGGAGAAGCCCGCCCGGTGGATACGGGGCTGACAGGGGCAGAACCCAAGCTTGCGGTGGCTCGCACAAGCTGGCTTGGCGTTGGTGATGTAATGCCAAGGGGCAAAATCGGCTCAACTTGTCGAGGGGGAATTGGTGCGAACACCTCAGGCACCGAATCCTTGTCCCTCGAAGAGTCCTCCAGAATGGGAGAGGGGAGGATAGCAGGTACAGAGGACGCCTGAGGAGTCGGGTCCTTGGATTTAGCCGACCCTTTTGATTTTTCTTTCTTTCCAGGCTTTGCAGCGGCGGCTGCCTTGGGAGCAGGCTTCTTCTTCGGAGCGGACGATTTTTTAGAGGGTTTCTGGACAGGTACGTCCGCCGCTCTAGTTGTTGATGACAGAGTTACTGACCCATCGGCATGGGAAGTAGAAGAGGAAGCGGGGAGCTCCATGGAGGATGGTGTGGAGGCTGAGAGAGCAGTGTTCCACAAATGTAATTTTAGCCTCTGTTGTCTAGCCCTTAAGGCAGCCTTGGTAAACGCCTGACAATGATGACAATTTTGGGGAGAATGGGATTCCCCTAAACAGAAGAGGCAGGTATCGTGCCCGTCCTGGAACGGGATCTTTCCAGAGCAAACGATCCACCTACTGAAAGGGC